CCGGGCCCGTAGGAGGGGCAACGGAGCCCGGGAAGCACGGCGGGGGTGTCCGGCGGGGGGGGGCGGCCCCTTCTTCGGGACGCAGAAGCGATCTGGCGACAGGTAAGTCGCCAGAATCGCTTCTGTTGTAAAGCAGACAGTCGGCTCTACAAGTTTAAACAGACTCCCGGCGGCAAAAGTCGCCGGGAGTCTGTTTAAACAGCCCCGATGCTGGCGACGTACACTGTACGTCGTCAGTCACGAAGGGGTTAAAGAACACTGTCCCATTTTCCGCTGGTCTGCAGAACTCATGTGTGCGTACACTGGAGTTATCTCTATGGTTAACTTTGGATGCAATGCACTAAAATCAGTGAGGTCAGTGTTCATCTCATGTGCAGACAACATGGACATGCACTGTGGTAGTGTGTGCACTAATGGATCGTTTAGATGCATTTACAGTTGTATCACACAAATATGCATGTTACCAAAGGATCAGAAAACATGATATCCTTCCGTTTTTAATAACTGTAGTGGAGGGAATAGCCCTAGAACATGGAATGAACCATTGCACTGCCCTGCACCAGAAATGAACTTGGAATGCAGCACTGCTGGGAGATATAGCAATGCTCATACATTTCTTCTGGGGAAACCTGCCATATCCCACCCATGAGAGTCTTAGCACCTGGCCAGTAACTGAAGCGTCTGGCGCACGTTTTTATGTGGGTATAGACTAGAGCTAGCTGCGTTTATTGTTACCTTTAGTAAAGTGACACTAAACTCGGGAATTAAGGCACTTGAATGCATTTTTAAGATTTAACTAAAAACAAAAATGTATCTTATTTGTGTATGACTCGGCTGTAGATCCTCAAATCATCTCTGAATTGGTGCTGACACTGTACTTCCTTCTGGAGGGTGGCTACTTTTGTTCATGGTCCCTGTGTGTGTTGTAAAGTAGCCACCACTCCAAGCTCACTCCTGTGATGGACTACAATCTCATGTTTACTTTACTAATTTGTATTTCAGTTGTAGTCTAGCATGGAAGTGAGATTGGAGCGGTGACTACTTTACAACACACAGGGATTATATGGAGCAGAAGTAGTCACCCTCCAGAAGGAAAGACAGTGTCAGTAGTAATTCGGAGTTGATTTGAGGATCTATAGCTGAGTGATACACAAATAAGATACATTTTTGTTAATAGTTAAGGTACTTTATTACATTTTTTGTTAGTTTTATTATTTTTTTAACATGTGCAAATGTGGAGACCTCTGAAAATGAATGGGTGTGAATGGCAGCAATTCACACCAGTGCATTGCATTGGATTGTACAGGGCAGCTCACAGCACGTGTCTATACAACGTACATCATTGCCAGGCACAACCAACACCTTGTATAGTGGGGTGGGGAAAAAAAAGCAACACAATGCAATACAATACACGTAAATGAATGTCAACGCACTTACGTTCAGTCACATCCAATGCACACATTGTGATGTAAATCTACCCTTCGGGCAGGAAGTGCCATTACTACAGAAACTTTATATTCATGACAGAGGGGTTCTGCAGTCCCTAGAGAGCTGAGAATAATGCTAAGTGATAACAGTCAGTAGAGGCAGAGAGCGCAGGAACTTATCAGCTCACAAGGTTTCTGCCATGGTCAACAGTGTATGTATGTATGTACAGGGCTTGAGAAATCTGCTCGTCTGTGACGAGAGGACGGTGGAGCCCGACGTGCAGCTTCCCGGGCCGGCCATTGTAATTACACGGCCGGCCGGGAGCTTTACATTCAAGAGATCGGGCGTCTCTAGAGACGCTCGATCGCTTGTATTAGCAGCTGTCACTGCCGTTCCCGAGATCCGCTATGCCCGATGCGGTCGGGGCCGGCACGGCTCTGTGACAGGAGATCAAAGGGAGATCAGCATACGGTTTCCCTTTTGATCTTCTCTCAGTCCCCGAATGCAGAAAGTGATGTATACAGTGTCACTCTCCAGCTACAGAAGCTGATGAAGCCGATCTCTGCTTCATCAGCTTCTCTGGGGGTCCTTAGGTGACAGGGGTCTTGGAGACCCCTGATGTCTCCATAAAGAGGACCTGTCATGTAAATTGGCTATCACATAGGGGGCTTCTTAGCCCCCCATGTAATAGCAATAAAGTTGTGTGTAAAAACAAAGAAAAGTAATACAAAAATTAAAGAATCATAAAAAAAGCATAAAAAAAATTAAAACAATTTTTTTAAGACCCCGCCACCCATATACACCCGCAGATATGCGTCGGGTGCGCCTACGTGCCAAAACTACGATTGTGCCGCACATGTTGCATATCGCCGCAAACGTCGGAGTGAGAGCAATAATTTTAGGGCCATTAATCACTGAAGACCCTAAACTGATGAGCAGTAAAAGTGTTTTAAGCGGCTTTTTTTGCGATTTTGCGGGCGCACGCAATTTTAAGACTTGGCATGTTTGGTGTCTATTTACCCGACGTGATCCCGACTTTTATGTTTTACCAAAAATATGGGTAAGAATATGTAAGTTTTACAACAGAACGTAGGGAAACTTTTTTCTTTTTTTTACATTTACTGTCCTTTTTTCATTATATAGTAC